AAATTTCTATGTCGTCATTGTGTACAAGCACATCAAACAATAACAGTTACACGTCATCATTCAATATATGAATTAGAAATTGAAAAAGATATTTTATGCAAAGTAAAAAAAAAAAAAAATTAAATTAACAAAAAACAGAAAATATTTTTCTTTCTTTTTTATTTTAAAGCATCATATAACTGAATTTGTTCGTTATTATTGTGAACAATGTGAAACATGTATTTGTGTTGCTTGTACATATTCTGATCATCGTGATCATGAATTATCAGATTTTCGTTCAGCTGCTGCTAATCATAAAGCATATATACATGATTGTCTTGCTGGTTGTAAAACACGTATGAATGAATTAGAAGCATATTTAAATATTATACGTCGTTGTGATGCTAATATAGCACAAATTGAATCAAGTATACATTCATTAGCAAGTACATTTGAAAAATCTTTACGTATAAAAGAACAAGAACTTATACAACAAATAACTGAATTATATGGTGATGAAACAAATGAATTTATAAAACGTCGTGAAGAATTAGATGAATATTTTGAACAAATTAAAAATACATGTTCATTAACAGAACTTGTTATTAATGGAAAAGATATTGAATTATTATTAGTTAAAAAACAATTACTGGAAAAATTTCATGAACTTGATACTGTTGAACTTGATCCATTACCGGAAAATATTTGTATGAGAATTGATTTTCAACCTGGACAATTAAATTTGGGTATATTAAAAATATGTGAAATGACACCAGTGGATGATGATGAACGTGAAGGTGAATTAGAAGATGAAGAAGAAGAAGAACAACAACAACGACAACAGCAACAGCAACAGCAACAGCAACAGCAACAGCAACAACAACAAGAACATGATGTGGTTTTAGAAGAAGAAGAAGAGGAAGCCAATAATGAAGATAATGATGAAAAGAAAATAAAACATGACGTTAACAATACAAATATTCATTCAGAACCAAGCAAAACATTTGTTTCAATAGGCATTCAAACAGAAGATTTATCAACAACAACACAAGCTGTACAGGTTAAAAAAAACATATATTTTAACTCTATATTCAAGGAAAAATGATTGATATGGCCTGATATGCTTTAATTCTGTTATCTATTATTTATCTTATCGAAAGAATTTTAGCTATTCTGCACATTGGAATGTATAAATCAATTAAAAAAGATCGATTCTTTTCTGAGAGAATCATTAATAATAGAATTTTAAAACAGAGATAAAAAAAAAGAAGAATCACTCTTTGAAAAATGTGGTCGAATCGAACTCGAAACAGTAGTAAAACTCGGTTTGATTCAGCCCTCGTTTTAAAAGTAATTATTTTAATTATGAGAAAAGTCCAACACGTTGAGAAGGCTATATTTACGATATAATGCTTCGTATGTTTCCAGTAAGATTTATTAATTCAATAAAATTCTGTTCTTATTTTTTGTATTTTCTATAGAATTATTAATATTTTCAGTACATGAAATTTTTTTCTAAAGTCTTTCTAATTTAAATTATTCGGATTTTTTATAGTAACAGATGTATAAGTTTACTAATAAGATTTCCTTTCTTCATTATACAAAAAGACTACCATCTATATCTTGTACTTTAGATTGATTAATATTTTTCTTTGTAAGATAAACTAAAAGTTTACTTTCAATCTTCTATATTTAGACAATGGATATACCACTTTCACCTAATGAACTTCATTTTGAAAATGGTAATCTTTCAATATCACCCGTACCTATTGAAGGAAATGATTCTGTTTCTCCTACTACGTTAGAAACATCTTCTTCTGCACCTGCAACTATATCTTCTGATACAAACAGCAACATGTATGAACAAAGTAATAAATTATCACGTCGTGTTCGTCGTTTACTTAAACCAACATGCAGTGTAGCTGTTTTACCTAATACAGACGTTATTATACTTGATTGTGAACAAAATCTTGCATCAATTCTTGATAAAAAAGGCAAATTTAAATATTGTTTTACATCAGAAATACCTACGGCTGAACGTAAAGGTTTTGCTGTATCGGGTTTTTCATCAACGGCGAATATAAGTAATGCTCCAGTTGGTTCAAATCGAACTGTTCGTATACCAACACAACAGGGTTTATTATGTATTAAATTGAAAGGTGAACGTGTTAGTGAATTACCATTAGGTTTTACTGTACACGCTTTCAATTCAATATCAGAAAATGACAGTTAAAAAAAACCTATTTCTAAACATCTGCTCCATAGACATTTGACTTGTTGTTATCATATCTGTTAAAAGAACGTCTGACGTATTTCTATCGATACAGACTGATTCATTATATGTATAAGTTTTTTAATTAATTATTGGCTTGATTCGGTCAAAATTGATGAGTAAGATTTTAATAAACGAATAAAATTGAACTGATGCAAAACCAAAATATTTTTATGTTTTTGTTTGTAATGATTGATTGCAATCAGATTCTAACAATGAGATTGGTGGAAAACATCGAAAAGAAGAATGACAAAGCAAAAAAATTCCGAGAAGGAAAATGTCTAAAAGGTAATACAAAAAAGGATAACGTAGAAAATGCTACATTCTTTCTCTTGCATGATAATATAAATTACTGATCTTTTGTCATTTCATATCGAGAAAGGCAAGAGAGATTTGATTAATATCTCATGTTTTGTTTTTCTTCCAATTAATGATATTTGCCTGACCAAGAGTTCTTTTGTACTGATATCTTTTTTAAACTTTTTATATTTAAAGTGTCAATCATAGTTCAAAGTCTTCTATATTTTTGCTGACTTTATACAACGGATGCCTTAGTACTTACCTGAAAAGTTATATGTTCGAAGCGAATATGTTCGTATTGAGTGAGTTGTTTCCTTCTAACATGTAAATTTTTTCGCTTTAACATTTTTTCTTATCATTATTTTTTCGACGCTTTCTACTTTCAGCGTCTTCCTTTTCGATGTTTTCTACCAAGATTCTAATAGTACACATAAAAACATGAAGAAAAAGGTCTTAGTGAAAAACGTCGAAAGAAGAAAATGCCGAAAAAAATGGAAAAAGAAAAATATCGAAAAGGAGAACATCGAAAATGTAAACAGCTTAAAAGGAAAATATCAAAATAATTAATATATTCTTGTGATACATGATAAATACAATGTTTTATTAATTTAAAATAACAAAGACAACGGAATATTGGCAATATAATAAGATATTATTGTTTTTCTTTCATATTAACAATGATAAGCCTGACAATAGTTCCTTTGCGTTGATTTGTTTCTTGATAAACCTGTCATGCAAAGTATCCAGTCTCATTTGAAAAGCTTTTGTTTTTGTCGATTGTTTAGGTGCAGATGTACTTACATCAAGTTGCATTGAAATATGTTCACAAAAGTGGCGTGTTCATTTTGGATCAATTGTACTAAACTTCAAATATTCAGATGCTTTTTTAACAATCGAGTTGCAAATTGAAAGCTATAAGCTAAAATATGACACTGAATTTTGCTACTGCCATCTTTAAAAGTTTTCGATGTTTTCCACTTCTACATTTTCCTATTCGATATTTTCATTTTTTTTCGGTTCTTTTTTCGATATTTTTTCCTTTCGATGTTTTTCGTCAAACCCAAAAAATCAGTAATAAAAAACAAGGGAAAAAGAACGGAGAGGAATGGTAAAGTGTTAAAATGTTGAAAAAAAAATTGTCGAAAGGCAGGACGTTGAATGAAAAAAGAAATGTCGAAAGTTGTCGATGCAGAAAAGTAAAATGTCGAAATGAAAACGTTGAAAGTTAGGATTTCGAAGTCTGAGGATGTGGAGTGTATGGGTGTGCGTGTGGTTGTAGCCTTGGTGATGACTGCGGCTTTGCCTGTGGATGAAGAGGAGACCTACATTCCTACTCATCGATATACACTACACAACCACATTCGCACCAGATCCACGCACACCCATACCCAAACCCACAGATCCTGCTGCAGACAACATCTGAAATGCTACAAGTATCACGTCAGATGCTTCAGATATCACTGAGATGCTACAGACAGCAGCTGAAATGCTACCAATAGCATTGGCAGGTAGTCTCTAAAAGTTATAGATAGCATGTTCAGATAGTCCTACAAAATTTATGTTGAGTACGTGTATTTGAATTCAAAATAATGCTAATTTAATGCTAACACTTTGACATTGATTAACTCTAATGCCAATAATACTGAAGTATCAGTGTTCCTCGTTAATAATAATGCAAAAGCATTCGTATGAGCATTAAATAATGCTAATGGTAATTCTAATGGGACCCTCCCCCCTCCCAACCCACACTTCCAAGCTTTTTTCAATTCATTACTATTTACTTGTTCTAATAAGAGTTCACCATCCATTGAGTCTGATATTACAATTAAAATAAAAACATTGTTCCATGCTATTTAGATAAACTGATCGTAGTCTATACCGATAATTCATTGTCTATTTATTAATAGCAGAATAATGATAGATTAATTAGCATAAGATAAGGAAAGATTGATATTATATGTATAGAACTAGTATAAAAGTCAAATAACAATAATGCAATGTTCTAATATGAGCGAAAAATCATCTTTCAGAGGCAGGATTTTCGATTAAGAGGATGAGAAGCTTTCCATCTCTCCAAAATGTACGACTTTCTGTCAATATTTTACAGCTTCATGGTGACTTTGGATAGTAACTAAATTTTGAAATACTATGTGTCTTCTTCTAGTAGAAAGTGAAATAAAAATAAGCAGACAATGTCGTTACAAGATGAATAGTTCAGAGATATAACTTCCAAATATGATATTTAGTAAACGAATTCAAAAATGATAAAAACTTTGAAAGATTGATCATTTTTCTATTTATTTATTGATCAATTAATGTTTTTAAAAATATTCAATAGTTCCTCTTTCTCTCTCTGACATGTTTTTGTCTGTCTCCTTGTCCATTTATTTATATAAATACTAGAAATATGTCAATAAAATATACAAGTATCTAACAACAAAAGGGAAGACTAAGCTATTTGTTGTGAAATTTGTTCATAATTTTCAATAATATCTGCTAATGCTGTGCTATATGATGCAGGAAAATGATCAAGCCACATTCTTGGATGAACAATAAGTTGAAAAAATTGATCATATGTAGTTATACCAGCACGATAAGAAATTCCACGTGAAAATAATCCAACACGATCTGTTGAATATAAATGTATTATTGTTCCAGGCAAAACTAAATGTACACGTTCACCAGAATGATGAGTTAAAACTAATTGTGAAATTGACGGATTAACATCGGTTGGTATTATTGAATTTGTTACTGAATTATCAATTAATGATTGTGTACGATTATTTCTTGAATGAAAAGTTTGTCCACGTTTAATTAATGTTCGTGCAAGTGTCATTGTTAATAAACGTATTTTATTTCGATTACATTTACTTAATGCATCAATTATTCGATCACGTAAATGTTCTAATGAACGCATTGATGCACGACCTATCATATCAGCATCAACAACATATGAATAAATAAAATCACGTGTTGCTAAAGCTAAATTTTCTGATAAAACAGAACCAGGCATAGCTATTCCATAACATTTTAAATGTGGATATTTAGATTTTAATTGAATACTAAGAATCGATGCAATACCAGCACCAAGTGAATAACCACATATAATTAATTTATAATCAGGATATTTAGTAAATATATCATTTAAACGTGTTGATATATCATCAAGAATATATTTAGCTGCTGAATGCATACCTTTTAATAAATAAAATCAATCATAAATCTTATTTTCATAAAATTCTACATTATAGATAATTTTCTCTTTCTTACGGTTAAGAATAATAAACATTAATATGTTTGATTATTCGATGAAAGAAAAAAAATGCAAAATATAAAATTTATGAGAACTTATTCAAGAAATAACTACTATTGCCTATAATAGGATGAAAGATTATTATTATTCATATTGATATGATATTCATTCGAGAGAGAAACAGCAGAAATATCACTCTAGAAGTCTGCTAGTTCCCATTCGTATTCATTTGTATGTAAACTATGATATGTTGTCATGAATTATTTTTCTCAGATGATAATATAAATATTCTAAGAATCATTGTGTACTTAATCTTAGATAATTTTAAAACAGTTCATCATTTGAAAAGAAGGATCTCAATATTTCATACGACTACAAAATACTACTTGCGAGTAAAACTTTGTACTCCTAAGTAAATACCATTTATAGGGTACAAGGACAATTCATCGCATGACATATTAGTCTTCAAGGATCCTGAAAGAGCATCGTTAGTGGGTAGGGAATAAGCATGTACTCAAATCGTCTCGGTCATTTGTGCCTAAATTAAAAAAGAATTTTCTTAACTACTTAATCATGTGACATTGTATTTTTTTCTCGGTAGAAACTTGAAGTAGAAGAATGATACTAGAGAATGTCAAAAAAAAGAATGTTGGCAACATTATTAAACTGTGAGCTAGAGTCAACCAGAAAACTCAAACCAAATGAATTTGGATTATTTTTCAGTTTCTTTGCAATCTCTTATTAAACCAAACAGTTCATACAGTGGCGTAGCCAACAAGGTGGCAATTCGGCAGTTGCCACCTAAATCAAATTTTATTGCCGCCTAATTGTTTTTAAATGTGGTCAATTGCCCATGGTCAAAAAAATGTTAATACCTGCGTATACTTTAAGATTCAAGGAGTGTTTTTTTCTAAATACATTTTCTCTTGATGAGATCTAATCAAATGATTTACAAAAATCAATGTACGATATTTTCCATTTAAAAAGTGATCATACTAATAACTATTGAATGGTATTTTCTGTCAAAATATTCTCTAATATACTTAGATTAGCTAAACAGAAACGTGAATAAATGCCTAACGATCTTTCTACAAACATAAACTGTATTGTACAGAAACGACTGGAGCAATCTAAATTAAAAGTTTTCACAACGTATGTTGTAACATGATTCTTACAATATTAGAATTGAAAACGTGAATAAATTACATAGAAAATCTAAATAAAAATCGATTGAGTGCGTAAAAAACAGTGCTTTGAAAGCTCATTTTAGGCATTGAAAATACCAGTAATAAGATGATAATATGTAGTTTACAGAATGTGCATATGACTGAACATTAGAACAATGCAAAAAAACTTTTATCATTGAGAATTTGTTAGAGATATATGTGGAATAATGTTTATCATTGTCCGGCGTAAGAAAACAAACAAACTAATTTGATTTTCAATTATAAACCTTTTTGTTGTTTTTTTTATATCTATTATCCTTGCTTATTTATGCTCATTTATACTATTGCTTGTTCTATTGATATTTATTTATGATTGTTTGACAAAAAATATTCAAATATAGGATGATACAAAAGTTACGAGACAGCCTTTCATTTCGAATAACTTTCGATGGAAAGATGATAGACACCTGTGATTTCCACCGTTGGAAAGAGATGATAAAAGTACATCAAACCATAAATTACAGATTTTTCTGACACGTTCTCTGAAAGTTTTCCATTGAGCTTTTTGAAAACTAACGTACCACCTGAGATCGTCAGTGTGAATTTCCACTAAAACATATGACGCACGAAAACTGAATTTTCTGAAAGTAGCCTAAGGTCTTTCGCAAAAATCCTTATAACTTCAGCAATGTTCAAGAACTGACAAATGGGAATTCCTAATCTCTAGAGAAACTACCAGTGTCTCTCTGATAATTCCTGGGGAAAAGAGAATCGACCATTGGTTCCCTCATAGATCTCCCATAATAAAAATCAAAGTAATGATTTATCCGTAACAGATTTCATACCTACAAATTCATTTTCAAATATTTCTTGAGAAAATGATTGTCTGAAGATAAAATATCGTGAATACCGTATTTTTTCAATTTTATGATTCATGAAACTGTGGAGAAACCCGAGAAGAATTCATATTCCTCAGTCCTTGGACACTGTCCATTGAATGACTGCCTGGTCATTTTTGGACCATCCAGTATATGGAATCGAAAAATACATTTCTTAAATATTGTAAAAAGAAAACGGGTGAATTTATCTGTTAATACAGAATGATTAATCTAATTTTCCTTCATTAACACATTGGGCACGATGGGACCCATCGGTGGGTCCCACTTTAAAAAAGTTGGATATGTTGACTTTAGTCTATTCATATGAAATAGTTTCTTTTGTCGATCATAGAAAATGTTTCAGTGTTTTTATTCATAAGAGAAAAATCGATAAATGCTGTGTTAAAATATGTTAAGTAGGTTCGATAAGAGAAAAAAGACGAACCATGCAGTATGAAAATAAATAATATATATAACTGACAACTTCCACTTGTAAGAGATTTAATTTTATGTAAAACCTATGAAAATTCTTATGTCGCTGAGTATTTCGAAACAAAAATTAGCCGACTTTGTTGAAACTAGTTAGCTTCGCAACGCTTTACTTCTTCGTACTAACTGATAGAAAATATGCGTGGCGTATATTTTTCTGAAAACTGTACAGGGTCACATTTGCTTCTGGAAACTACTTAACATATTTTAACGCAACATTTCTTGATTTTTCTCTTATGAATAAAAACACTGAAACATTTTCTATGATCGACAAAAGAAACTATTTCATATGAATAGACTAAAGTCAATATATCCAACTTTTTTAAAGTGGGACCCATCGGTGGGTCTCATCGTGTCCAATGTGTTAAACAATATATTCTGTAATGCGAATAAGGTTTCAAAAAAAATTATTGCCCACTAGATTTTACAATTGCCGCTTGTTGCCACCTACTAACAATAATTTTGCTGGTAAATTGCCAACTACTTAAAAAATCCTGGCTACGCCACTGAGTTCATAGAATTATTCTCCTTTTGGTTATCAAAGATAGATGTTCTTCTATTATAGTTCATAATCACAGAGAGAAGTTTCAAAAATATTCAAAGTCTATTATCGGATTTCGACGCCTGATTAGATGAAAGTGTACGTTGAGGCACACAGAAGATCCTTCCTTACACTAACATTGACATCCACATACTCCTCGACGAACAGTCCTCTGATGAATCATCCGTTAACCTATTTATGTTTTATTTTGATCTTTAGTATTTATGTCACATTTTCTATGACACTTTTCTAATCTAATTGCTTTATAAAAAAAAAAAAACATAATTAAACTTTACCACTATGACAATATCCACTACCAAATAATTCTGTTTCTAAAACATCTTCAACAGCATTTATATCAGTTAGTACATCAGTTGCACTTAATGTTCCACGAATAGATACAATTATTGTTTTCTTTTCATTATCAGCTGCTATATAAAATGGAGCTAGAAAAATAAAATCAAAAACATATAATCCATCATAGATTTTTTTTTTTTTTTTGTAAATAGTTTTTCTCATACCGCGATGAAATGCACCATGAAAATTAGCATATAATATGATAGGGTTTTGTCTACGTAGTAAATATCTTAGTGTATTATATTGATTTCCACATGGATCATTTACACTATCTTGATTTCCACAACAAGATGCACAACAAGTGCAACAACCACAACAAAAACCAATTGTCCTATTTAAATTAAATAAAGAATCCTGTGAGATAAGATAACCACCTTTTATTTGAAAAGCCATCTATATCATTTTGTCGTATATAGGAAGTTGCTTTTTCATCAAATTTTCACGTTCTGAGTAACCATATATCAGCTACCGAATATTAAAGCAATTGTGGGTAATATAACCAAATATTAGGACTTCGTATGTTGTCAAACTAATCTATATCAAATTTTGTACAAAGTTGTTTCAATAGAATTTTATCTGAGCTCCAATCATATATATGTAATACTTCTCACAATAGTTTTCTTCGTGCCTGAAATCTTGACACTTTTCTTAGTTCCTGTAATTTTTGGCTATTATGATGTTTTAAATTCTTCAATACTGTTCCTCACGGCAAAAGCAACCAACCATGTAACTTTGTCAGAAATTTTGCGCCACCAACCTCTATAAGTATACTAATTAATTGTTCTCTGAAGTGATATGCGTCATAGTCAATTCGACTAAGAAGTGCCTAAAAAAACGCTAATTTTTTTATTTCCAATTACAGAAAAGTATATGAGTTTTGTGATAAATACTTTTTGAGTGAAAAAATTTCTATCTATCAATAATAAGTTCATCATGCCCGTGTCATGTAACAAATATGAATCTTTCGAAAATGGCAGAAGGATTTTTCGCATGCGCATCCCTGATGGAAGGTAAGGGGATTCGAAAACTTTTTAATTCTTATAATAGACCGAACATATTTTGAATCTAATAGAGCTCCACATATTAATCACATTCGACTACTTACAATCTAAATTCGTACGGAAGTAAATAAAATAAAAAATAATCTTCATAATAGTTCATTCTTGTACCCCTCTCCAAGAGTGCGAACGCAAGAAATTTTTTTGCCATTTTTGTAGATTCATATATGTCAAGTGATAGGAGTATGATGGATTTGTTATTCATAAATAGGAATTTTTTCAGTACAAAAGTATTTATTACAAAACTCATATACTGCTCCATAATGAGAAATAAAAAAATTGGCATTTTTTAGGGATTTCTTAGCCGAATTGACTATGACGCACATCAATTCAGAGGACAATCAATTGATATACTTATAGAGCTTGGTGGCACACAGTTCTTGAGAAAGTTATACGGTCGGTCGCCTCTACTCTGAGGAGCAGTGTCAGAGAATTTAAAACATCATAATTGCCAAAAAATTGCAGAAGTTAAGAAAAGTGCTAAGATTTTGGCCACGAAGAAAGTTATTGTGAGAATTATTAGATATATACAATTGAAGATCAGATAAAACTCTATTGAATTAACGTTAAACAAAATATAGTATCAATTGGTTTGAAAACATACTAAGTTCTAATATTTGATCATATCACTTACAATTGTTATAAATATCACTTACTTGATATATGACTTCTCCAAACAGTAAAACTTGATAAAAATGCAATTTCCTATATATCATTCAACGTGATACGAATTGCTCTACAAAATGGTATAGATGACCTTTCAAATGAAGGGTGGTCATCTTATCCAATAAGGTCTTTTCTATTAATTTAAAACATTTCACAAAATTTTTCAAGTATTTTACCTGAAATTCGTCGCAAAAAGCATTCTTAGTATGAATGTTAATCGATATTGATATGCTAAAGAAAACCTTTCGAAAAAAAAAATATGGTAAGAAAAATGATAAAATAATTTATTAAATTTTTCTACCATCCAAAAGCAGATTGTGCATAAGTATTATAATAAAGACCTTCTTTAAGTAATTCTAAAGGTACATTTTGTATAATATTAACTGAACGTTCTTCAATTGCATCTTCTTGTTGTAAAAGAATAAGACCAGCAGCAACATCACTTGGTACAAGATCAAATCTTTCATCATCAAATAAATATTGTAAAGTTTTAACAATATTTTTAATATCTGATGATTGTCCACCTAAAAAGTAAAGCAAAATTTTAAAATTAATTCTTTGTCTTGGTTTTTTTTTTAATCATTTTATTACCATAACCTCTTCCACAACAAAAAATTAATCTTATTCTCATTTCCCATTTTTTTTCAGCACTAACAAAACCAGTTAAATCAATAAAAAAAGCTAATATTATAAATAATGCTATAGCAACACTCCAACTTAAAACAATTGTTGTTATAATTGTTGCACGTAAAATAATAGCACACATTTGAAATACTCTTATTATTATGACTGAACCCATTATATTAATACCAATATCAATTAAAACAAGAAATAATCTTATATAAATTAATAATGGCATATGACGACGTGGTCGAATATTTTTTAAAGGTGATCCTCGTGTACTAATAAAACATATGAATACTGCTGATATTGTTATAGCTATATAAACACTTAAAAGTGGATAAAAATAACCATTATAAAATGATGATGGACATGTTGAATTTGGTGATTCATCTTTTATACGAAAGATAATAAAAGTTACTAACAATGGTAATCGAAGAATAATATCAATTAATGATGGTATTGTTAAATCATCAGAAGCAAAATTAAAACGACGACCAAATAAACGAATACTCGGCATAATTTATTAGATATTCTAAAATAGTATTTTTCAAATACAAAAGCAAAGCTTATTCATTTCTATGATAAATTAGAAAAAAATATCCATTCAATGAAAGAGAGGGAAAGAAAAGACAGCAACAGCTTGTCATTCTATGTACGCTTTTATATATTCATTTTTCTCCGTTCTTTTACCAAGTGCACTGAATAATGATGTATTTAAATGATAGGTATAATGACAGAGAAAAAAAAACAATGCTATGACATGTTATTACAAATAAATGTCAACAAGTTTTCACATGATCATATTTCCATAAATGCACTGATTTCATTATGGATGCACCAATTCCTACAAAATTATCACACAGAGGAAACCATTTCTTTCCTTATTAAGGATATAGTTCCTTGTGGATTCTTCATATCAATTTTGAACGCTCTTTCTTAATCTATTCTTAGGTATGATCTAATGCAAAACATAGAAACTCAGAAACAGTTGAAATCGATTGAGAAAAAAATATTGCAAATTTTTTATCAATATTTTGTTTTCGATTACAACTTTGAATAGAACAAGAAAAATTGATCATAGTTGATATATAAACAATTCACAGGGAACTACAGTTCTAGAAAAGGAAAAAATGTCATCTTTGACACTATATTCTAAGAATTGATGCATTCCTAGATTTGATCAAATTCAGTTCTATCATTAGAATAAATAATTAGTAAAAACATGAGTTTGACCTTTCTCATTCTCAAAAATTACGATTACTGCTAAAGGTCTTATTTTTGCATAATATTTGACATTCAATTTTATTAGATCTATGTTATGATATGGAACTATAGGATTGTTCATAGAGCTATGCACAAGATTTTACAAGGTTCTAAGCAATTCTACAAATACTGAATTTTATTATGTTGATTGAAAATCTAACATAATTTGCTGCTTTTCTTTGACGTATATTCACCTAATTCTTAGTTTCTATAAGTAAACACATATTTTTTGTTATCATGAAAAAAATTCCGTAATGAAAGAGTAAAGAATCATAGATTACTGGAAATAATTAGTTTTGCAACTCAATAAACAAAACCAGAAATAGCTAATAGAATAAATAGGTTTTTGAATCATTATATTATGTTTATAAGATAAAACCCTATCATCTATTTATTTATTTATTTATTTAAAGATAAAACTTGATCGCAAATTTTTGTTGATTATTCAATTTATTTAAGAAAAATAAAAGTTTTCTATTAAATATTCAAATAAACATATGTCTTAATCTATAAATAAACAAATAGTTTGACATAATGTTTATAATTATATTAGCAACAGAATCTATATTTTATTATTTAACTGATTAACAAATTGATTTTATCATTAGATTATTAGAACTATTCTAATTAATACTAACTTTCAAAAAATAAAATCTTGTAAATATTTACAATGTTTTATGATATATTCGAGACAGTCATTGAATTTTAAATCAAGTCGAAAAACGAATCATCTAAAATAAGATTAGAAAAAAATTTCTAATATTTATTAAGTTTCAATTCAAAAATAAAAACTAACAACATTCATTACTATTCTTTGAAACAAATCAACAAGTACAATTCTTTTTTTTTCTTCTATCTTCAATGTTAGAGAATATATGAAACGATATGACTGTATCTAAAAACGTTGTGAGAATTTTTGTTATATGAATCACGTGGACATTAACTAGAAAAATTTCGTTTTATCTCAGGTGTATTATTAATCACATACAATGACAAAGGCAAGAATAAACGTAGTTTATCTTTTCTTTTTTAGATTGAAATAGAAAAATGTCGACATGCTCATTATGATTTTGTAGTATATGTTTTTTTTTTCTTTCTATGCTATTATAAACATAAAATTCGATTATTTCGCATGACTAAAGATTTTAAATATAATATTTTTGATTTTATTACAAAGGCAAACCCACAAAAAAATAATATATACTGACAAAAAACAAACGTTTAACAAGAAAAGAAAAAAACCTATTTCACAATATTGAGATTCATGATAGAAAATACTCAATTAGTTTTGTTTTTATATTCAATTAATTTTTTCTAAATATCCCATATCATCTGCTTTAACATGTGAAAATAATTCTTGTCTTAATTTTGTACTCGATACACCATTTGTATAAGGTAAAAATTTAACAGGCATTAATTCTTCAACAACATGTCTTGATGGAAAATCTGCCATATCATCACCACGTACATAAAGTGCTGATTCATTTTCACGTAAATGTACAATACATGTAACAAAATTTGATGGATCAGTACCAGAAACACAATAAACTTGATCAGCATAACGTTTAACATTAAGCATACGTGTTTCTGTTCCATCAATAGGTACACGATTTTTTAATTTTTGAATACTTCTACTATCATGTACACCAACAATAACTTCTCGACCAAAATGTCGCATACGTTGAAGAAGTAAACGATGACCTTCATGAAATAAATCAAAACAACCAACTGTATAAACTTTATCAGCTCGACCATCAATCCACATTGCTGGTAATGATGAACTACGTTGAATTTCATGAGGAAAATCTTGTTGATCTTCAGATGAAGATGTTGTACTACTACGATCATCTGTTTCTTCTTGAATCTCATTCATATGTTTGATGATCAATGGATTTATTGTACCTTTTGGAAGATTAGGTGATAATCGATCATTTGTTATACTTGATGTACTTCCTGTAGTTGATGATGAAGGACTTAATTGAGTATTTAAACGTTTTTGTTTTTCACTCTAAAACAAAAATTAAAAAAAAAAAAAATTCTTTATCATTGAAAATTTATTTCAAAGAAACTTACTTCTCGTAATTTTGTATCAAGTGTCATTGCTCGAAGTCGAGCTTTTGTATCAGTTGATGAATTAAATATATTAATTACTCCAATTGTTTTATTAACAGGTGATGTTGATGATGAAACAGTTTCTGATGTCGAATCAAGAATTATTGTTTTCTTTCTTTCAGTATTTATTTCACGTGCTTGTAATTTTTTCATTAATGATGCATAAGCTAATCGAATTGTTAATGAAAAACATATTATACCACTTATACCAGCTAAAAAATAAAAACAAAATTAAGAATATTTTAATGAAGAAAAGAAATGAAAAAGATTTTTCAACTTACACCAATGATTAAATGGTGAAAGATAACCTGTTGATAAACATAAAAATGCTAAACCCATTGATTCAAGTTTTTCTTTTAATTTTCCTTCCATTGCAGCTGATGTTGAATTTTGACCAGATGTTCTAAAAATTATTTTATTTTTATGTTTAAATATTTATTTATTTAAATAGAAAATCACTTACTTATGTTTATGTAGACTAGCATAAAAATAATCTTGTACACGTACAACACCAATAGCTGTTTCAAGACCAATTATTGTATAACATAAAAGAACAAATCCAATTGAAATAAATATTGATGTCTGTTCAAAATTTGTTTCTTGTACAACAGTCCATAGACAAAAAACATTCACAATTTTATCACAAAATGCATCCATAAAACCGCCTAATAAAGGATCATCAATATTTTCACCATAAAGACGTTTGTGTACTTTTGCAACAATACCATCAACATGATCAAGAAAATCATGAAAAAGAACTAATAAACATGCTAATATTGGATAATTATATCTATAGGAAAAGCAAAAAAAAATTTTTATTGATGAACTTTTAAAAAAAAAAATTTCAAATAAATATTTACTTAATACACCAAGCTATTGGAATAATAAGAAGTGTTCGTGAATAAGTAACAATATTAGCATTGAATACAGTTACAGTTTTATCACCAATTCGAATAAAACGTGGAATACGAGCCATGTATGGTGAAAGATGAATTTGAAGCGGTGTATACATATATCGATCGTACCAAAGAACCTATTTATTATAATTCAAAAAAAGTGAATCTATTCATTTGAACACAAAATTATTTTACTTACCATTTGAAACATAACAAATTCGATGGCATGACTGATCACTGTCAGAGGAGTCACCAGAAATTGAACTAATGATAATAAACCATGAAAGTCTAAAAGAAAAATATTTTTGAGAAACAATTCTCATAAATAAATTAAAAATATAATACTTACTGAATGACATATTTTTATTCTCTATGGACATCTTTTTCTTTTTGAATGGAAAGATTAAGACTGTAGAAATTTGTAAAACAAGAATTCTATATAAACTGCTTGGGTCGATCTCTTTTTATAGGGGCGAGAAACCAAAAACATAGATAACGATAACTGTGGAGGCGCACTTGATGATGATGAAAAAATGTTCTAGTTTTTTTGAAAAAATAGGTCACTCTTTCCGATTTTAGCTCTTTGACTTTTAAGAACCTCCGAACGGTTTATTTATCATATGTTTATAATTTTCTAATTAATTTCAAGTTTTTTCAATGTCATATATCTATCATAAAAATTACATTTTTATTACACAATAGTTCTCATTTTAGTTTAATGTTCATCTTCTAAATAAGCTTTTAATAGGTTTTACGCCAACTCAACGTGAGAAAAAATATCATATGGTTTAATAATAAGTACTACGCATACGAATATCTCGTGTTATTATCACAAGATATTAATATAAAAAAATATTAGTATAGAACCAAAATCAAAAAGTTATTTCTCACCTCAATGGCGTATTTTTTATTTCAATCATTGATATTAGCTAATAACAAAATGATAAAGAATTTTTTTTTTTTATTTTCTAAAATAAAATTTATATGAACAAAAACGAATACATAATTTTTTCAAAAAGATTACTTGCCATTGTCAATGTTAAAATACAGATCTCTTGTACAATATACATTATTCTGTCTTTTTTTGAAAGACAAGAAAAAAAAGTTTTTTTTTTTTGAAGTTTTAAATAATACATTGATTATAAAAGAGAAAAAGGAACAAATAATCTGACACATACAATACAATACAAAAAATATATATGTTGAAATAATAAAAAATAAATGGATTAATTTCACGTATAAACACGAATAACATCATCAATACGTTTACGACAAACTGGACATGGATCTTTTCGATTATACAATAAACGTGCACATTCATAACAAGTTACAAAATGATTACATGAACGTATCACAGAATTACGTGGTCGATCCATACAAATTGAGCAATCAACATTTTCACTTACTGCTGAATTATTACCATTGTTATTTCCACTTTCAACTAAATTTAATAAGAAAAAACAAAATAAGAAAAAAAAATTTAATTAGTTACTCACTTAAATCATTACGATTGCCACCATGATCAAATCGATTTGATGATGTCAAACCAGGTAATGTTCGACCACGAACAACCATTATTCCACTACTCTTTTTTAATGATTCAATACGAGCTAAAAGAAGAGATGAATTAATTTGAATCAGTTTTGTCTTTTGTCTACAAAAGAAAAAAAAAATAATACCTTTTCGTCTAATTTCTCGTTGTTCTTCGTCGAGTATTAATGGATCAGATGATGAACGAAAATAAAGAACTTTGTCCATTCGTTCGAGTAATTTTCGTACTTAAAAATAAACAAAAAAAAAAAAACTAACATAAATTTAATTATAAATTTTAATATTTTACTGGCAGATATGGTTTGTGTACTTGTTGATTTTGTTGGATTAAGTTCAACTTCAGGTACATAATAAACTGGATAAAGAAAACGTGCACCGACAAAATTCTACATGAAAAAACAAAAGACAAATATTAAAGATTAACATAATTGTATTTATATTAATTTACTTCTTTATGAGGTAAATTTTCTGACATTTTGTCTAAATCTAATCGCATTGTGTTTGAGCATATGATGACATTAGATGAAGCATATTGAGCAGCTTCTGTAATAATAAAAACAATGGAAAATATTACAGATGTTGTAAAATATTTGTATTAATTTTATTTCTTCAATATTTCAATAAAGAAACATTATAAAACAGAAATTTTTGTTTTGAAAGATAATTCATAATATCTTCTACAATTTTTTGTTGTCAAATTCTATCTAATAGAATAATTTATTTTTTCAAATAATTCTAATTATTGAAAAATTTTTTCTAAAAAAAACTGTATTTTTCTATTTGTTTTTTTCGAAAAGGAATAATTATAAATTAAATTATATGATGAATCGATAGACTATTAAAAACTGTTGATCGTATGTCTTTGAAAAACAAAAAGTTAATTTGTTAGAAATTAAAGAATATATTCAGACATTGAAATTTGTCGAATGTATATAATTATAATTCAGAATTATTTTTTTTTATTAAAAAAAAGAATATTTAAAAGTACTTTATTAATTCAACAATTATGAATTGAAATTCACTTAATTAATTCTTTTTTTCCTGAAAACGAATGATTGAATAAATTGAAATGTTTCAATACTAATTAAATAATTATCAACTTAATTAAGCAGATTTCTTTGTGTAGACGTCTATAGTTTTGTCAAAAACAGGTGCATATTTTCATAGTTTTTTAAGGACTTAAGATAGTGAGTACCCATGAAAATAGTCGACGTTTTCAATTGATAAATGTTAACAACAAGGTTTGCAAAGGACGTCATGAGTTATCTTCGAAAAGAAAAAAAACAATTATCATTCAATAGTGCTTCTTTACGAGAATATTGAAAAAAGAAAATTAATATATAAAAAAAAAAAAAACTTTCAATGCCAATTAAAAAGAAAAAGCTGAATAATGATAAATATCTTGATAATATAAATCTGATGATTGTATCTTTATATGATATTGATTCTTTCTTTGTTTTGTTTCTCCACATTAACTCATAATCGAACAGAAAAAAAATCTAGAGTATCTTCTTTGTTTGACCTAGTTCTTTTCTGAGGCAAAAGATACTGATCATCAGGACAATAGTCATCTTCAAAACATACCTGTCGAACTTATCTTGTTTTTCTTTGATAATGTACTTTTGGTATAATAAATAGATTTAACAAAATTTGTTGGTATTCTCCTTTGTTTTCGTCTTTTTCTTTCTAGAATAGTTTTGTCGAAAGAAAAAATAAATCTTATCTTGACTACTTTTGCTTACGATGTCTTAGCAAATAAGTCAAAGTCTACAGGTAAAGTTTAACAACTTTCTCGTTTGACCTAATTTCTATTCAAAAGAATGAATTTCATAAGTCGAGCACATTCTAATGACAATACAAAAATTTCTTTTTTGTTTTTTTCTTTATTATAAATATAATATTCATTGTGTTGTAGGATGATCAAAATTCTATTCTTACTTTCAAGTAATACTTGTTTAATTTCTAAATTTTCGATAACACATTCAAAAATAAATTCAACATCTTTAACAGCATCTTCAAGTCGATTCAAACATAATATTTGACCCTGATTAATTACAAAAATAAAGTACATGTAAGTATTATTTATATATATATATATTTGTAACTCACTAAAAATTTTGGTACTTCAATAAGACCATCACGATATAATTGATCTTCATCGTAATGAATACGCTCACATGCTGTATCCAATTGTTTCAAATCAGCATCGAAAATCTTTACAATATGACCAAAGTAGGCAAAATTGCCTACGAAAAATAATCAAGGGTAAGAAACGAAAAAGAAAACAAATCAAAACCTGCGATTTTTAAACCCATAGACCCACAACCCAATACAGCAATTCGAACCATACTTATTTAATAATCTGTAAAAAGTTATGTATATGTACATATATGAATATAGAAGAGATTTTGTTTCTTGTTAGTTTTTACTTATCCTTCTTGACTAATTTTAGTTAGTCCGACGGACACAGCGAAAAAAGAAAAGAAAAGAAAAGAAATAGAGAATTACATGAAACAAATAACAAGCAGAAAAAAGAAAAACAATTGTTCCGTCTATTTTTTTTATGTCTTTTATCCATTATCATAGTAGTGCAGTGTAGAAGACGTAATACAACAAAGAAAAAAAAAATGTAAACATGCACAAAAGAGACAGAAAGAGAGAAAGAGAGAGAGAGAGAGAGAGTTAGCGAGATAGTGAGAAAAAAATGATATTAAGAATTAATTTATGCTTTTTTTTTTTTCTCTTTAGTTTTCTCACAAATATAGAATAATGATATATGTTAGAATATATATATCACATAAGATAAACTTTATCAAGAATTAGCAGATGTATTTGCGATCGAAAGAACATCATTAATACGTTGCTCGGGTAGAAGACGTTCAAAAAACGGATGTCGAAGTGCGTCAACTAATGTTATTCGTCGTTTTGGATCATATTCAAGCATTTTTTCAATTAATTCAAATAACTGTTGATGATCTTGTTCATCACTCATCATATAACGCTTAAATGAAAAACAAAATTAAATTAATATTAATAAACAAAAAAAGAAAAAACTAAACAAAGAATTTTCTTAATCTTACTCTTATTGGTTTACAATTATCGCGTACATAGCGACCAGCTGAACTACGTTCATCCCAATCTAATCGACCATGATAGAAATATTTTGTTTTTCTAAAAAAACACAAAACAAAAAACAAAAAAAGAAATTAATAATGTTTGATTTTGTTTTTTTACTTTGATTGTTTTGCCATTCGATATGGAATAGGACCGAGTATACGTTCCATCATAGCTAAATGCTCTTTATTATCATGAGTCTATGAAAAAAAAAATATATACAATAAAATAAAATCTTATTAATTAATTTATAATAATTTACTTGAAAGAGAGTAAAACCAAGATAAAGTTCAAATAGAATACATCCAACACTCCAAACATCACATGCTTGAGACCATCCTAATTCAAGTATAACTTCTGGTGCACGATAATGTCTTGTTGAAACAATTGTTGAATGATGTTCCCAATCGAATGTTGCAGAACCAAAATCAATTACTTTTATATCTGTTCGACGTACAACACGCTCATCTCTTCTCTAAATAAAATAAAAATTTATTTCAATTTAAAATTAAATTTCATTTGCTCAACAATTAACAACAACTTCAAGCTTTCTCTCTCAAAGCATTATGTTTACATAATTCTGTTCTGTTGTACACGTCTCAAATTACTCATTTGTTGATCGCCTCTATACATTCCGCTCGGATAACAAGACGATGCAATTCTGCAAACTATTGTTCATGACTCATGTGACCTGTGCTCATTGTTTTATGTTTATGTTTTCTTTCTTTGTTAAGTTATTTGTACTCAGCACTATGTTCCTTTAGGCTATGTCATGGATAGAAGGTTAAATAAACGGAAAATAATCAAAACATCATAAGAATGAGTTTGTATAGCGATTTATTATCATATCGAAAAAATCGATTTTCTCAAGAATATTTTTAAAAAAGCGTGTACAAATGTTACTCCTCATCATATGATAACTAAATCCAAAAAAGAACTTTGGATAAATATTGAGATCATCGACACTTGATACTTTTGGCATATGTGAATACATAGAGGCTTTTCTGATTTTTTTTTTTTATTAAACTTAAGTTTCACTGCAGAAAACAACATTTGCAGAGATGAGCTCTACTCGACCAAGACAAAAAAATTTTTTTTGCTCAAAGTTCGAAATCTCGGTAGTTTAATTTTACATACCTTTCGATGATTATAAACAACATTGTAATCCGAATCGACAAAAAGAATATTTTCAGGCTAGAAAAATAAAAAGATAAAAAGTTGTCAAAATCATTTTTCTAAAATTCTTACCTTTAAGTCTGTATGTGTCAATGCAATTTCATGAAGAACTAAATATAAACTTTTTTAATTAAATATATAAGAAAAAAAACAAAAAAAGAAAAATATTTACATTTGACAGCAAGGCATAATTGATATGAAATATGACGAACTTGATCGATTGGATATGGAATATAATTGTTTTCTTTTAAAAAATCAAATACACTTAAACCTAACATATCAAAAGCAATACACATATGACCATAATAATCAAATGAATCAAGTAATGCTACACATAAACTAAAAAAAAAAAATAATCATTGAAATGAAATAGATCTAAAAGAGAATTTTTCTTCAAATATAATCTTACTTAACACTATCGGGATCTTTTTCTTTGATTGTTTTAAGTACATTAATTTCTAACCGGGCCGCTTCACGATATTTATCAACATTCTTTATTATTTTTAATGCTAAGCGTGCATTACCATCACTAACAAAAAAAAAATCAAGATATTCATATAGAAAAATAAAATCAAATAGAAATTTTTATTTTTACCCGCGAAGATCACGAACTTCGACGACTTTACCAAAAGTACCTTCGCCAAGTGTTCGACGAATTTCATCTAAGATGAACATAAACAATTATAATACAGTTTTGAAACTTTTATTTTATATGAAAAAGTATATTATTTAGTTTCTATCACAAATAGAACTAGAAAAAAAAAGAGAGATTATCTCAAATTCCATAAAAAAAGTTAGAGATCCATCATTCACTTGGTGTCTTTCTACTTCTAAAATCTGATCAATTTCACTAACGAGAGAACCACCCGAAGCAATACATCAATCATTACGGTAAGATCTCTTGAGACTAGAAAGATTTTTCTTTGTGCTTTGGGGTTTTGAGGTTATGCTCGTCAGACTGAATTTTTCACCTTTGACATGATATTTATAAAAAAAAACAACAACCGGATAAACGAATTTAGGCCTAAGACTTTGTCCGTAGACGATTCCTGAGATCATAAGAAACTCCTAAAAATTTCAGCCAAAAAAAATTGTCTTTTCTTGAGATATCAAATTCACAAAAAAAATCATGATATTCCAAAACAAGGACGGAACACCTAGTTTTTGTTTTTTGTGAATTCGATATCTCATAAAGTGATTGTTCTCAAATATAATAAATTGTTCAGGTTGTCACTTTTATATAAATTATCAGTTTGAAAAAGTAAAAATATTTTCAAAGATCGAAATCTCAATAATTGCTGGGTCGGGTCCGGGTATGAGATTATATCCGAACTCATGTTCCTTGACCGGGTCAGATAATTGACCTGGTTGCAGGATACTAATTCAATAACATTTCAAAATTGAAATTTGATTTTAATCCATTGTTTACTTATCGATTCATATAGAAGAATAAGTTTGTCAAACTCATATCTTAACATTAATCTGACATTGAATATTATTATTCATACAAAAAAAAAAAAAAAAAATATTTATTCGTTACCGAAGACTTTTAATTTCTGACTGGCACTTATTAACACGACTGAATTTTACTAAGTACATAAATCAATAAAGCACGAAATATTGTCTGAGAACAGATCTATTTCCTACGTCAAACACTCAAATAATCACGCTATATATATATATTTATGACAAAAGATTATATCTTTTGAACGATGAACAACTAAACCATAAACTATAATTACAGTCACTCATCAATCACATTTGAATTCTTCACTGATTGTTCATTCTACTCCATTAAAGGCAAAAACAAAACAATTTCTCTTCATTAATTGATATGTATTTTTATTCTATGCTTTTTAATACATATATATATATATGTAAAGAGATGCGAAATTGCTAATGAATACCAAATGTATTATTGATCTTGTCGAATTCTCATGGACTTGATAAGACAAAACTAAATATATATATCGAATATATGAACATATGAACGAGATATCTACATCAAATGATGAACTATATTCAATTTAGTAAAATTTCTTCTTATTAACATACAAAAAAACAAAAACAAAAACTTACATTGACGATGTAAAATATCACCTAAATAAGGAAAAAGAAAACCAAGATAAATTTGTTAGAAGACATGATAATAGTCTTATCGTCTTTACCTGGAACATAAATCAAATGGCCTTCATCATCATCACGAATATTGACATGGCCCGAATCGCTTTTGTCTCGTCGATTCTATTTAAATAAATAATAATCATTTTAACAGACAGATTATTTAATATACGATAAGATTGAACTTATGCACGCACATATATTCTTACTTTCACTCAATATCTTTCGATTATGAGAAAAATTTTAAAAAAAAAAGTATCCAATCATCATTGGATCATTTGATTTTACTAATAAAAATGAAGGGAATAAAAAAAATCGCAAAGAGGTTTATAAATACAAATTGCATAAGTAAAAAACGAAAGCTATATGCTTTTATAATCATGATGCGCTTCGACGGCTTTTACTATGAACCAAATAAGCAAGAAGGTCAAACAGATTTTACACGTGCCGATCGTTTGAATAAATATGACATACATATACACATACACATATACAGACAAACGACAGCTTAGAAAGTGTACGTGTTGTTTTTTGTTGTTCATTGTATTCTTTTGTTTTTTTTATAATAGATATTCCTACCTCAATAATAATCGTTGATGATGGTATTGCATTAACAACAGGAGGTGTTTTTATATGATTACATTGAGAATAAATTGTTGAATGTGATGATGGTATATATTGTCGATAAGTATAATATTCATGATTTGTACTTAGAGATGTATTTGATTTAATAGATGAACTTGTTGTAGCTATAGAAGAATTTGATGAATAATGTACAGATGGTGGTGGTGCTGGTGCTGATGTTGGTGCAAGATAATATCTTGGTGAATGTTCACTTTGTTCTTGTTGAACATCTTTTAATACTACACGAAGACCACTATTGAATTGTATGAGTCGCATATTGATTAACGGGGACTTTTCTTTTTATTTTATTAAAATTAAATCATGTTTGTCATGAAAATTTTTTATGAGTCTTTTTTCTTTTCTGAAGTTTTACCTTCATGAATCCAGAGAATACATAGAAATAAATGTATGTAAAATATCGATTTGAGTAGAATGAATATAATAGATGATTGTATGCCTATGTATGTATATATATATATATTGTACGTTGCTTCACCGATATGGATATGAAGAGAGTATGTGTGTATGTGTATGTGAATGTATATGAACGAATAACAATCTTTGTCTTTCCTCTTATTTCTTCCGCCAGCAAAAACTTTAGTCGAAGGTCGTCGTCAGTTTGCTTGCTCGAAAATTATTAATCAAATTGACCAAGTGACCACTTCTACATCAACATATATGTGTTCCCTCTCTCTCTCCCTCTCTGTTTCTTTTTTTCTTCTTTTTGCTTCTCGTTCTTCTTTATCATTTGTCCATTAGAGTTCAAGCACACAATGCTATAGTATAAGCATACGATGAATGCGTTCACCATCTTTTCTTTTTCTTTTTTTTTTTTTTTTTTTTTGCCAACTGATCATCTGGACGGCAGAAAGGGCAGCAGTACAAGAAGCTTCTTTTCTTTCTCTCGATTTTTTTTTTCTTATTCTTTTCACATTTCAAGAATATTAAGGCTATACACTAGTCCTACAAGCAAGACTACCAGTACTATTTTTCTATTGTTCATCAGACAATTTTAAATATGAGAATGGTCGAATAGAAGAAAAAAAGAAAAGAAAACGAGAATAGTAGGATTATTTCGACCATTGACTATTTTACATTGCCGTCTGTGTATATGTAGTTTGTAGTTTTATTGCATAAGGGACATACATGAAAAAAAAAAGATTGTAGGGTCAATTTCCTTTCTTTCTTTCTTTTTTTTTTTATTTCTTTGTGAACGCATACTTATATATACGCAAGTAGAGACCTTTGACACGACATATCAAGGCGCCATTAACCCTCTCGTTTGTTAGCTGCTATATATATTTAAGAATATAAATATGACGCACTCATATTTATGAATAACATAAATAAAACTTATGAAAAAATGAAAAAAAAGAAACTTACTCGTTGATTTGGTGTTGATGTTGATCGTTTATGATGATGATGATGACGATAATTATTATTCGTATGATTATTAATTACATTGTTAGTTTTCTTATGTCGTTTCGATGCTGATGATGTACTTGTAATACTTTCAGCTCGTGTGGTTGTACCACCGGTACCATTTCCACCACGACGATTTTCCGATGAATCATGTCGATTATGCCGTCGCCTACGATGACGTTCAATTGATGAACTAGTATGTAAATTATTACGAGGTGCTGTTGAAGAACTGCAAACACATGCAAAAGAGAATTCATACATGCAGAAAAATAAAAGAATATATATATATATATGTAAATATCAAAAAATAAATCTATCTCAAACGTTTTGCAGTAGCACAGCAATCATTTTGCTCCTCAAAAATGCACACACACACACACACACACACACGAATACGAAATTCCCACCCATCCTCAATAACTGGTGGTACAATCGATCGAGATGGTGATTGTTCTTTTTCAGCATGTGCCGCAACAAAATCAAGAAGTGAATTTGTTGTTGATTTTAATGTTGGTTGTTGTTGTTGTTTGTTAAGTGATGTTAATGAAGCAGATAAAGGTACAACAATAACAGGAGGACCTTTATTATTATTATTAATATAATTATTTTGTGGACTAGGTGATAGTTGACCATTAGGTGTAGAGAAAACAACGGCTTCAACAGGAGCAGTAGAATTATTTGTTATTAGAGCAGGTTGAGGCGATGATGCTGGACTAAGTGTTGGAATAGGTGGTGTTGTTTGAAGTAATGGAACAACAGTTGTATTTGTAGGTTTTGAAGGTACTGGTGATGATGGTGTTGTAACATGTGTATTAGCAATAATAACACTTGAATCATCTCCATTAGTTGTTTTATCGTCTTCAAGTAATGATAAATTTTCCATATTTGTTATAATAGGTTCTGTTTGATGTGAAAGTGTTGTCGGAGCACTACCTTTAGCAAGTAAATATTTTTTAATACGTCGTTTAGATGAACCAGGTGTTTGATAGCTAGGAAATGATGTTATAGCTGTATATGATGTGTTTTTATCTGTAATTGATGTTGGTTTACTAATATAACCATGATCATCATATGTACGATAAGAATTCAATGGATTTGTTATTGTTGAACCAACATACGCTGAACTCGCTGATGCTATTTGTGATGATGGTATTTCTGTTGTATGTGTTGGATTTGTTATATAATTTGTTTCATGATATATGGGTCGTGTATATTCTTTTGATTTTGCACGTAAATAATCATAATTATATGTTGGATGTGATCCAGTTGAACTTGTTGCTGCTGTTGTTGATGATGATGTTGATGGTGGTGGAGGTACAATAGGACGATTAAGATTTTCATTTAATGTTGATGATATTGTACTTGTTGGTAAATGATAATGATAATAATGTGAATCTTTACGTACAGGTGTTGTTGGTGGAATAATTGATGTTTGATAATCATCATTTGGATTTGTTATTTGATCAATACGTTTATATGAATTAGCTTTTTGTAAATTTGTTGTTGAACGATTTTTTGAATCCGTTCGTCCAATCATTGTATCTTTAACACGCGTATTAAAAACAAGATCTTTTAATTGATCAATACGAGCTTTACGTTCACTTGGATTAGAAAATTTTTCTTCATTTGTTATTGATGATAATGGTGGTGATTGTAAACGTGATGATATATGCATTGTTAAAGCACCACCTGTATATTTCTTTTTTGATCGTGATGATGTTATTGGTGGTGGTGGATCGATTGTATGATCATGAGAAATATAATGTGGAGTATACTGTTGACGATAACTATTTGATTCATTATGATGATATTGTGGATTTGAACTTGTATTATGTACACTTGATTGTTGTTGTTGCTGTGGTTGAGATTGTAATTGTTGTGGTTGTTGTGATTGATTAAGTGAACCACGTCGTTCACTTGGTGCTCGATCTTCATTATAGAAACTTACTAATGATTGAGCTTGATGAAATGTTGATGCAAATTTTTTTTTTAATTGTCTTGGTTTTGTTATATGACACCAAATAGGTGCAATATTAGCATATTTTCGTGCTAGTTGACTTGGAGATGAATAACTCCATGTTGGGGAAGCTACTATAGGTGCTGCTGTTCCATAATATGTTGAGTTACTATTAGGATTATTTAATGTTGTATTTGTTGATTGTCCACTTATATTTGAACTATTATTTATTGAACTTGTTGGCATTGGTCGAAGTCGATATGTGTGACCGGTTGTGCTTGAACTGATATTGCTTGTCATTTTCTGCTTGTCTTATAACATTAGGATATATATGTGTATATGTTTAGTAGAAGGGAAGAAAAAGCGAGGACGCTCTTTTACTCGTTTTTTCTGATGATTAGATAAGAATGAGTACTGGACTGAGAAAAAATACGCAAGAGATATGTATAGATGGATAGAAGACGAAGAAAAAAAAAAAGAGACAACGCCTCCTTCTTTTCTTGCCCTAATGAAAGAGCGAGAAAAAGAAAAAGTGTTGATCTTCAGAAAACTTGCTCAGTTATTATTATTATTGTCGTTGTTGTTGTTTTTCCATTCCTTCAATTCTTTTTCCTCAGTATATTCATACTGCATTGATATTATTGTACAGGATGGATTTTCTCATCTGTTATATTCTTTTCTTCGTCGTTCTCTCATCTATGGAATATATAATCCACATAAACACAGAGGAAAAAAAGGAAAGAAAAGGATAGAGATATTTTCAAAGTAATTATGTCTGTACTAAGGAAGATATACGCAGCACACGCGCACAAGCACAAGCGCTAGACTATGAATGCCTAGGGTACATGTACAACGAAGAAGAAAAGTGTTATCCTCTGCGTTCTCTTGTACGCCTACATCATATAGTATTTATTTCCAAGCATTACTCTAGAAAAAAAGAAAAAAGAAGAATATTCTAGTTTATGACGAACATAAGTCAATTACATTGTTGTTGTTGTTTGTTATTGTCTCTATTTTTACGATATAGAATAAGAATTAACGTCTTTTCTATTTGTGCACAACGACGCAAAGAAAGCTAATGTATGGTGTCGTTGTAGAAAGAATTTTTACAATCAAGATAGACAATATCCAATGAGTTATAGAAAATAAAATAGACATAGACAACAGTATTATTATTTTCCTGCTGTGTAACTGAAGGTGAAATAAAATCCTTGTATCGATTTATGTGCACAAAAAGATTTTCTTACAAACGTACTTTGTAGAAATTTTCTTATTTAATTTATTTTGATGAAATTTTTCATTTTGAAGACGTTGATATTTGTCACGATGATATCGACAAAGACGTTGATGTTCATATTTATGTACCATTTCGTCAATGATATCATTGAATGTATAGAAAACTATTGTGCCAGTAGAGCCTCCATATAATTGTCGAGTAGCGATCATTATGTTTTATGTCAAGGTGAAGAAAAAAAAAATATCACACTTTGAAGTATGGGAAACAAACACCGTCAATCGATCGATTATTGTACATATATATATATTGTCTATAAAATAAGATTCTTTTTTCTTTTTTTTTTTCATATTGTATATAGTTTGTACTTGGGTCACACTTACGAACGAGTTAGGTGAAAGAAAAACAAATAGGAATAAAAAAATACAATCACGTCGCAAGGTATATTAAAGAAAAAAAAATGATTGCTGTAGCTACTGATAATAATAATGTATGAGATATATATGTATTTAACATGAATGATAAAAGAAAAAAAAAATCATTCGAGACACTTTTAATAGATAAACAGAATATAAAATCATTTTTATTTTTTTCATAATAAAATATAACTAGTTTATAATGTTTTTTTTTTCTATTAATAGTATACTAAAGAGTCTTTATCATCTAGATTTATCAGTAGGATAAATGATCAATATCATTTACATAGAGAAAATATAGAATGTTTTTATTTTTTATTGTTTAGATAAAATAATAAGTAGCTTGAAAAATGATTTGTAAATAGATATCTAAGTTAATACATAAATTCAACAGTGATCGATTTTTTTCAATGGAAATAAAAGGCTAGAGATCGTATCAATGTTTTATCCAGATTTTTTTTATTCTGTGGTAAGAAGGCATTGAAACTCCAATAGGGCAAACATATATTTTTGGAAGTACACACACACACACGCATAGCATTTGGTATGATAAACAACAAAAACTTCTGTAGGCTAACCCCATCTTCAAAGGGGCGCCGTCCTTTCGGCCCCTACACTGGTTCATATTGATAAAAGGTTAGACCAAAAACCTATCAAAACATAATTATTGAACTTGACTACTATCTAATCTTGTTGTGTTCAGCTGATAACAAATAGATTATTTGAAAAAAAACCTACAGTCATCAGTGATGATGGGTCAGCCGATCGTCATATACTTCAACTGTTAAATCTGTTCCTAAAATATATTATTGATGACTGTTTGACGAGAATCTGTCATCAGTTTATGATGTATGACGCACTGAAATGACTCAGTTATTTTTATGTACATGTCTTGATGAAAAACAATTATACGAAATACGCAGTCGTTATAAATTGTTTTCAATGATAACCGAACTTTATATTGATGTCTTTGTATTCAAGGACGTAACTTATGAGGGTATGTGAAGCATAACACTCTCGTACATCTGAAATTTGTCTATACAAAGCCTTTCATGCTATTACAAATCACCTACGCAGCAATTATTTTTCTGAGATTCAATCACGTAGCAGCTTGCTCCTCCTCTGCTGAGTTACGCTTCTATTTGCGAGTTTTAACTGTTAACAAAATTCAAATTCATGTTTTTCCTATTTTACTTATGATTTATTTCAGATTCGTTTTTTCTTTTACATGAATTATACACAGAATGAACTTTGAAAATTATATAATCAAAGTACTGAAACATGATTGTTTCACTTAAATTTTGTTTGAAACTTCTATTTTGTCTTTCTATCATTTAGATAACATTAATATCAATTTGTTTTGATTGTTGATAAATTCTTCTTAATCATAATTCTATTTTCATATATTAATCTTTATCATGTGCATCGTCAAAAGAACATTAAATAATCATCTTCTATAGATTATACTTTTTCAAAACATTTGATTAATTAATGTGTTTTAGTATGAAGATGATTGTATGCTGAAGAAACTATTGGTCTTTTTGTTTTTGCATATGTCTAATATCATGATGCTAAATTTAACCAATATATATATATATATATAAATCTTTAGTATAATGTGATTTAATGAATAAAAGAAGTTTACTCAAATATTCATCAATAGTGCGACCAGGATTGACATCATCATATTAGACAAATGAAAAAAAAAAACGATCAATAGCTTCTTCAGCATCAAATTAAATTATACAAAAATAGATCAATTTAGTAAATGTTCAACCTATTGAAGATTATTATTCAATATATCTCAATAAAATACATGACAAAGATTGAGAGAAAAAAATTTATCAAAAAACAAAATAAGCTGACATTAGTATTGTCCAAACGATAAAACAAGGACTTTCAAACAAAATTAAAGATAAACAACTATTGTCGATATATTGATTATGTAATTTTCTAGCGTAATTATATGTATCAGAGTTGCTGAAAGGTTAACTGATATTTCTTATTCTTGAACACTTTTAATTTCATAACTCGGCATTAATGCATCATTTTAATTTTAGTTATTTACTTAATTTATTTTCATAAAGCTAAATTAATAAAAAGTTCTTATACGAAACAACAAATTAAAATAAAGGAAACAATCTCCATAAATATCTTTCATACAAGAAAGATTTGAATTAACACTATGTTTCTTTGATGAAATCAGTACTGTTTCGCGCATAGTCGAAAAAAATGTCATCATGATGGTAAAAATAAGATGTAATCAGTCATATAGTGTAGGCATAATGGAAAATGTGTCACGAAAATATACGGAATAAGTGATACTATAATAACTGACAAGAACAGTTACATCTGACAATCATTTTCCGTAATAGCATGAAGGCAAAAATTTCCTATCCAATTGTTTGAGATCTAAACAAGTTCGTGTGTCAATCAATGTAAATTCTACAAGACTCAATTTACGTTTGATTCAAGCATTCGTTACTAAAATCGGATGAATTTGTCGACGTAATCTTGAATAATAAAACAATACATTAATATTTGATTTTCTAAGCGGAAGAATCAAATCAACAGCTATGGTCTAAGCTGACAGGTTGGAAGTTCTAGTATGTATATTTCATGTAAAAAACAAACGATAAATAAGAACAAGCAAAATATGAAGTTCAATTTTTATTGAAATACTTTTCAATCATCTGTTCATTATTTATGAAATATATTCGAATCAAGAGCTGATTACTATTCAAAAGATTTATCTTGATCAAAGTTTCTTACAACTGAACACATATTCTCTTTCAAAATAAAATACGAAAAATTTTCGTATTCTTACTCTATCCTGTAGAACATCTACTCAATCAGAGAACATTGATAGAAAAAAAAAACGTGTTTTTACTAGAGACCTATATCGGAGTCAACTAAATGCCTTCGGTTTAACACAAGACATTCTTTGAATTGTAAGTTTTATTCTTTGGTATTCGCTGTACGAAATACTATGTTTTCGGAATTCAATTAATGTCTCTTTGAGACCTACGCCGATGAAAAGAAGTCGAAGCCAACCCTGACTTCGGTTTTCCCCACCTTTGTAAAGTCCTGAATCGAATCTCCAAAATATAGCTGTTTGTACAATGAATATCAATCACCATTCAAAACAACTTGTAGTATTCAATATATATTACTGATAGGCAATTTAGAGAGCTTCGACCGCTTCTAAAAATGCCTATCTACGATAAAGGTCTTTAGTTTTTATGCGTTAAAATGATCCCTGATCTAATTGAGTATTCCTACCTTATCCTACGAAGTTTTATCCCACTCGTCCTTAATATTCTTCTAATTGAAAGACTCTAAAAGTGATAAATAGCACAATACTATTACGGTAGAGATGTGCAGGGTAAGCTTTCTTCATACTGTGACTGAGAAAAATTTTCTCACTATGATCCGACTCTATTACACAGGCAGGAGTGTTTCGAGGTCAACAAGATTGAGGGAAGGCACAGTATGAATTTTTTATATAGCAGGTGGACATATGACTTTCTTGTTCAGAAACAGATTTCTTAGTTCAGAAATGATTGGATATGACATTGAAAAGCATTTTTAAGGAAAAAAAGTCTTTCGACGAAAAATGTCTGAAGGAGGCTCTTGCTCTCGTTTTTTCTTCAAATCTATTTTGCATCATATATTATTCGATACAGTTTAAGGCGCTGATTTCGGATATACTATTCTATGTTGATTAAATATTCTTCCAAAACCAGAAAAATCTATGATTTTTGATTAAACTCACTGTGTACTCTAGGAATGTTTGTGCTAACAGAAATTAGTGACAGTAGACAGAACAACATCCTAGCAAAGTTTAGAAGTTCGATTGCTCATTTTACAGGACTAGCTGTTTGAATTACACTGTATAAAAAATATTTTTTTTACGGTTGTATAGCACTCGGCATGGTGACTGAGAAAATGTACTTGATTCGTCTGGCAAACAGTTTAATTTTGTCAGATATAAATTTTCTAGCGACTAGTTTTTCAGTTTCTTTGAAAGTTGTTTATACCATTAGATAGACTATATTTCAAGATATATTTCTCTATATTTAAATTTTGAATAAGGATGATTTTCATTTTTAATCACAATGTCCGTCTAGATGCAGACAGTGGGAAAGTCAATCCTATCCATCTCAAATATTTATGTCATTGTTTAACAATTTATAGGACAGAATAATAACTGTGTATAAATAAAAAATTTATGTTTAATAAATCTGTATACGATAAAAATTATCTCGAATGATTTTTTTTTTGTTTTTATATTTAAATATTTAGTTTCTACTTACCGTCGCTTCGACCGTGATCTTGTTCGTTGACGATGATGATGATGATGCTCTCGCCTTCGTCGTCGTTTACTATCATATTTTCGTCTTGAAGAATGACGATGTCGTGAATTAGTTCGTCGAACAGACTCATCTGATCGAGCTGATGATGATGATGATGATGATGTCGGAGATGAAGATGATGATGATATTGATGAAGATGTGGATCTTGATCGACTATTCTTTGGTCTATCACTTGAACTGTTCGTATCATTATTTATTGATGAACGTCGACGAGATTTGTGATAATATGATGAACGTGTTTGTTCATCATCAGTACCACGATCAGATGAATGACGTCGTTTATGACGCGTCATTGGTATGTTTTTTTTTTTTTTTTATAATAACAATAATCTTGAATAAGAGTTTATTGAACAAAAAAAAGAAAACAAAATAATATCCATATTTGTCTCCATCATCTTTTTTGTCGACTGATAATCATTAGCTAAAATAAACATAACAATCCAAATGAATATTCAACAACAAAAAAAACAAAAAGGCAAAGAAAAGATATATCAACCATTGAGAGAAGAAAATAGAAGCTAACACACAAATAATTCATATCAGGCTGAGATATTGAGTTATAAAACAAGAAGAAACAACAGAAATAATCGACAAATTAAAAATATATATGCCAATTATTTTGTTGTTTTTTCTGTTTTTTTTTTTTGTTTTTAATTTGTTTTATTGTTACAAATAAATAAATGTAATTAACATAAAGCAAACAAAAAAGAAAAAACCAAATAAGTAAAATGAAAAAGAAATGAAAGTAAGAATCCTCTATTGATCACCAAGTACATGACCACGGCCACCGAATACTTGTCGACCACGATTTCCTTCATTATCTTGTGCACCTGGTTGACGACGAGGTATTGGTGCTGTACCAAAACCACTTACACCTGTTTGTTCATTTGGAAAATAACGATATCTACGAATAAATACAATTCATGACAAGAAATTCTATTCATATTTTTAATATTCAAAAATATACATACAGAAAATTTGGTGTTTGTAATAAACGTGGACCACCAAAATCTTGTGGATATTTAAATACAAGAAAGAAATATAGATGACCAATAACAATTCCACATAATTGTACTAAAAATCTAAATAAATTTAATTTTAATAAAAACTTCTAATAAAGAAAAAGAAAATTTAGGGATATGCAATTGCAGTAAAAATACTGATAGAGATTTACAGTAAATCGATTTTCTATTGTGAACACTGTCGAAACAATTTAAAAGCATTTATTATACAGAAATGTATAGTTTAGAGATTTGACGTATAGTTTGCTATGAAATGAATAAAAAGATTTCAACATATCTGCTTCTCTATTAGTCTTAGATGAAAATCTTGTTGTTTATTTTCTTGCTCATCTAAAAGATTTTTCAATATCAAAACACAATTTAATTTAAAAAAAAAATTCTCTAATATTGTTTGTCGTGTTGCTTTTGAATTAATATAAATATTAGTTAATCCAGCTTCTAATTTATTAAAATTAATCGATATTATCTTTCGTAGTAGTTCTATTGACATACAATCATCATCATCCTATTTATTAGCATTTGATATTTTAAAACGTTCACATGTATTGAACGCAAATGTACCTTTATCTATATCAATAATTCTCATACATAAAATGTACGTACTCGTAGTGCATAAATAACAGATCCAAAAGAATCATTTCACATGTGTTCACATTAGAAAGAGATATTTCTAGCAAAAATCCTTCTATCAAATCTGAGACCGTTCATAATTAGGAAATATTTACTAGTAGAGATTTTACTGTACTGACCATTGAATCGGTATTCACTGAAATTACACATCTCTAGAAACATTTGATTACATACGATCCTGAAATAATCCAATTGAATAACATAAGAACCCATGGCATATACATTGCTTTAAATTGCATACCAAACCAAAATGACATAATAACGTCTTTATTTAATTGACACCAAATATACATAACACTCATAATCAGTGCATCCATTAGTATCTTTTAAATAAATAAACATATTCTTCTTCTTTTTTTTTTAAAATTGATATTTACTTACATATAATGATAGAATGCCACCAACAATAATATTACATAGCCAAAGAAAAAATAAACAGAATATATAATCAGCTGGTTTACCATTGAACGTACCTTTATTAAAGAAACAAAAATAAAGATAAATAAAATGAATTTAGTTCGTTTTTTTAATTTATACTTGATTCAAGACGTGAACTATATTGATAAAGAAAATAGAGATTAATTAAATAATTAAAACTCATAGGATAGAAGAGTACAGCTGTAAGTAATCGCCATATCTATAGAAGATTAAAATTTTTCTATATGAAATAAAAAAAAAAATAATATACTTGAAAATTATGAATAATCGGATCCATGAAGAGAACAAGACTTTGTGGTCGAACTAAACCAAGACGTGCTGCAACAGGAACAATAATACAACCTGTAAACCATACACGAGTTATTTTTGGGATACTGTTGTACCATTGACCAAGATCATTTGAAGCAGACATTATTATTATTTTAAAAGTCGATGAATATGATAATAGAAAAATCAAACGAGATTTTTATTTGCAAATGCACTACCTAAGTTTTTTTTTCTTGTGCAATTGCGACAATTACAATGAATGAAAGAAAGAAAATATTATCATGATTAGTCGTTTAAAATAAACCATTCAGAATTTGACTGATCAATATTTGTCATCATAGATATTAGAAAAAAAAAAGTTCTTAAAACTAAAAATTAATATATTTGAAAAAAATTTAACTAAATAATATTAGGTTTATTGTGATATTAATTGATAAACATATAGTGACATCTTTCGTTAGAATTTTGCTAAAGAAATTGGAGTCTTGCGCGAGAAACTTTTTTCGAGTTTTAAATCCCGTTTAATTTTCAAAATGTTCGGTACCAAAAATTTTCAGAACATCTCTGAATGTGTCACAGGACGCAACCAATGATGGGTCGACAGAGGGAAGAGTGGCGAGCCTGTAACATTTCCAAATTACAGAAAATTTTTATCTTTTTTCCCAGCAGAGCTGAAATTCTCTTTTGCATCCTGGTAGAAGAAAAATATTCTGCATTCATAAAATATCTCAACCTTCTCAATATTGGCTGTTTTGAAAATACTCAAGTTTCAAAGAAATTTTTTTTTGCTAGAAAATACTCAAGTTTCTAAGAAATTTCGGTGTTTTTCTCCCTACACCATAAGAAAATTTCTAGAAAAATTCCGAAGTTCTTAATATACCAATGAATAGCTTTCAGATGATTTCGATAATGAGAAATACACAAAAGAAAAGAGTTTTCAATTGTTTTGAGAAAATTTAAACATCCAAAAAAGGCGTAATACTCAGAAATTGCTGCTAATAATGGGTCACGAGTAAAGTTCACACAAAGCATAGACGGAATGTCAGTAATTACTGCGAAACAGCTAGCAAACTTCAGTAGATACAGAACTTAACATATATATATATACTCTCGATAAATTTCGATATATTTTCCTACGAAGAGATGCTACAGAAGTTTTGAGAATTAGTAGAAAACTTCAGCAAATACAGGAATGATGAAATACTCTTTCTGTGTACATGTTAATGTACTTTATTATTGAGAAGAAGACTCTACCTTTTATAGCGCCGGTAATTTCTGCAATTTCTCTAAAATTACTATTATTTTGGAGGATAGGATCTTCTTTTTTATATGAAGATATAGTGATATCGATGTTGAATAATGATAGTAAATTCAGTATTTACTAAAATTTCCAAAATTTCTTAGAATAGCTCGATGTTGGATGAAAGTTCGTGTTATATGTTTCAGAATTTTCAGAAGTTTTCTAATGACATTTTTGTTGGTAGTTTCTGGAAAAAGTGAGAGATTTATTGTTGCGAGTATGGTAATTATTGAAATCATCCGGAAATAGTTATGTTGTGGCTGAGTAATTTCATAATTTACTTTACCAGTATGATAGGTTTTGGTAAATGCTGTGAAATTTTGGAAGTCATCAGTGAATTTTTTGTATCTCTCTCTTTGATAGATTCTTTCAATGTATCAAAAATTTACTTTGTTCGAAATCTGAACATACATCACTAGCTATCATATCGATGCTAGTGTAAAAAACAAACTGAATATGATCAAATAGATGGAAGAGTTTCTTTTTAAAAAGATTTCAAATGCTTTTCTTAATAGAAAAATACTATCGAGTATATTCAGAATATAACTATATATTGAACCTAGACTAGATCATAAAAACCTAGGTCAATCATCCACGATCGTACATCGATCAATTACGTCGGAAACTGATAACCGTCTACCATGACTGTTTACAACAATCACAAATAATGTTTTACGGTGGTACATCGAAATCATTGTAAACAATGACTGTACAAATACAGTGTCAATAAACGACGCTTGGATAACATCGTAAGACATCGCATACGTCAGTTGTAAACGGCTGATGTACTATCATCGTTTTCCATCTTACTTACTCCTAAACAGTCACTAACAGCAACGATCTTCACTGATTCAATAGCCGGACTATCAAATATAATCGATTGCTTCAAACCGCATTATACGAAGTTAATTTACAGGTCGTTTACGATCGTTGTAATGATAGACCTGGAAAGTGATAGTATTATTCGAAGTATCACGTCGCTGACAGAATTTTGTAGTGAATATTACCTTTAGACAATCATCTCGACGATAATTATTGTATCAAAAATGATTCTATAGATCGTCTTTATTTATATTTATATTGACAAGATTATTTTGATAAGTCTCTATTGTCTGCCTATGTATGTTGTAGGAGAAGATTAAATCGATCTTTTTGACGACTAGTTAGTAGAAGATTCATTTATGGACGTCTGTTTTGATTTCGATGAAGTCATTTGATTCTATGTACTAAGAAAATATATGGATATGATTCTTGATAAAAAAGTAAAACTTTTGTGGACTTTTTTTTTTTTTACATTGATCCATATCAATAATTATATCAAACGAAAAAATTAATCATATATTGTTGATCATTAATTATTTATTGATCATTGACGGATTTTTATGCATAGTTTTATTAGAAGAAAATTTTTGAACAGCATGTCAATTCTCACCATTATTGATTATTTTTGAAGTATTTCAATTTTTGATCGTGCTATCAACAAGCCTTGACAAAAAAAGTGATTGATTACCTTGTAAAAATAAAATTGAGTCTATACAAAATCTCTTTCTCAACTACAAGTCAAGGTTAAACAGCTGATAACTGACATTAAAACTTCATATTATTACTCAAGTGTTAGCAACTATGACATATGCATTTATTGCTGTCATTGTTCTCTTAAGATAAAAACTCATATTTTCAGTACAACAACAAAAAAAAACTTGTAAACTCCTATTTATCACGATATATCAATAAAAATCATTTCAGATTGTTATTATTCGATTAAAAAAAAAGTTGTTTGCTATTTAAAACGGCCAGACATTAAAAATAATATGATGTTGATCCTTATGATTATGGTTTCTTATTTTTGTTTTGATCTTTCATTTTCAAATTGACATTCATTTCATATAAAGACGGTAGGAAACTGATTGTAAATCTCTATGAATATATATTTAAATTACATTTATTTAGAGAATATTAATTTAAAAAGAAACTGAAATAGAATTTAAAACTACTTGTTTATTTTGAATAATTGAAAAAAATTGAAATTTAAAAAAAAAGAAATCAATTTTCATCATATAAAATCAATTGAAATTTATTTTGATTTCTTTTTTCCTAAAAGATAAAAAGAACTTCACGATACAAAAAAAAGAAAATGAAAAAATTATACATCGAAAAAAAAAAATAAAATAAAATGTTCATTCATGTTGATTGTTACCAAAACTCACAAAAGAAATAAAAAAAAAAAAAAGGACAACAAAAGTTAATAGAAAAAAAACATAAAAGAAAATGTATTAAAAATTAGTTTTCTTTGGTTTTGTGATTATGTTTGACGAATTAAACGTTGTTGTTGTAGAAAATTCATATTATTCTGTTTTTTATAATAATAATGATGATCATATGAATGAAGACGCATACCACGTGCTTGCATTATTAATGGTTCTTGTCGTGCACGTTTTGTATTAGTTGCTGTTTTAGGTGGTTGAACAATTGATGCTATAACTGTTGTTTGTATTTCTGTTGATGATTCGGATTCATCATATTTTGAAGTTCCATTACCATTGATTGAAGATACATTTAATTGTCGAGTCGAATTTGAAACAATTGTCTATAATTCGAAAAAAAAACAGATAATCTAATTTAAAAAGAAAGAACAACAAATTTTAATATATATATACAATTAATGGAAAACTTTCAGGTTCTTGTTGATGTTGTTGAACAGTATCTGCTGATGTTAATTGTGATGTAGCAGATGTTCCATATGAATATATTGAAGAAGGTGGTAGTACATGTGTATGACTATCCGATGAACGAACTGGTTTCCACCATCGTGTTGCTGTATCTTGTAAATGTTGTTGAACACGTTGTTTAGCACTATTTGTAGTTGATGAACTCATATCTGTTGATGTATCATTATCATTTATTTTGACTTGTGTTTGAAGAACATGTAAAATTTTTGTTAAATTAGTTAATGTTATATATTGATGATTAGAATCTGATAATGATTGTGATTGTTGTTGTTGTTGTTGTTTGATCTGAGCTGTATTTGGTCGTCGAATTGTTTGTGTTGGTGGCAAATGTGGTTGTTGATTTTGTTTTGAACGTGCTTCTTGACGTGGTTGAGGACGTGTTGTTGATGGAAGAATAACTGGACATATAACAGATTGTTGAATAGGATGAAGAAATGTTGCTGTTGTATGTTGTTGTTGTTGTTGTTGTTTAAATCTTGGATTCAATTGTGAAAAACGTTGTCGATGAATTTCCATAACTGATGTTAGTTTACTTGGCCAAGCTGACAAATGTGTTTTAATTTTTTCACTACAACCAAGTCGAATATTTTGTTCTATTGTTGGTTGAAATCCTGTTGATTCGGAATTAAAGAATGGAGAAAGAATGGATGATTTTTTATTTTTCATCAATGATGAAGGAGGAGAAGAAGGAGAAAAAGAAGAATTAGAGATTGTTGCAGTTGAAGTTGAAGGAAAAAAATGTTGAACAAGCATTGTGACAATAATTTTTGTTGCTGTTTGCAATTCTTTATGCAGTCGTCAATCTTATTCGAGTGTCGTTGTTTAGACAGTAGTGTTACTTTTACTGCTGCCAATACTTGTAAAAAAAAGAAAATAGAAAAAAAATCAAAGAAAAGAAAAAGAACAACATTGTTGATTACCGAATTATCGTGCACATACCTGTACTACTTTCACCTGTTTTCAATGTATCTTTCATTATTAATACTTATTTCTTTTTTGAAAATAGAAAAAAACAATAACTAAAAAAAGTACTACGTCAGATATTTTTGTTCTTTTTTTTTTCATAATTTTAGTCTAAGAAAAAAACAACTTTTTTTTTTTATATGTTCAAGACAGACTATGATTTTATTTCTTTTTCCTTTGGACAAAATTGAATAAGAAAACAAGAATATTTTATTGTTTAAGTTTTAATTAAAAATCAATAATAAAATAGTTGATAGGTTTGTTTTTATTGATGATTTCTATTTAAACGATAAATAGTATGTTTTTTTTTTTTATAAAATTCATGAGAGTCCACTTAGAAAGTCAATGTGTATTAGAATAATATGTTTAAATTTTCTTGCTTTCTTTGCTATTAAAAAAAGTCACTCTCTGTTTTAATCACATTAGTTTACATAACCTGAAAGATTTGTACTTTCTTTATCTTAATATTTGAATTTTATGGTCAAAAAAAAACACTTCAGTATGATTTCTCTTTTGAAATAAAACATTGTATTTCATTTTAAAAAAATGCAATGAGCATTCTTATTGAATAACAAAACTGATGTAATAAAGGGTTCCTTTTCTGAGTGTATAAATACAGCATTCATTGTCAATGGAAGACTACTTCTACTAAATCGATGATGAATAACTTTTATAAAAGGAAGTTATAACCTTCGATTTCGAATGTGAAGGTTAACTTCTTGAACATTTTTCTAAGAGTTTCTTATATGGTAATAAAATGCTTAACGATAAATTTATGGTTAAAATAAAAAAAAGTGAACCAATAAAATAAAACTTTATTCAATTCAAAATGAAAATTGAATAGAATTTAATAATAATAGACTATTCATAAGCTTCATTTTTGACATTCAAATATCTAAAACAAATACCTGTCGTGCGTCTATTGATATTCGAATCGAATGATGTTTTACACCAGTAGACTGACTTTTTTGAATAATGTGATGGTTACTGATGTGTATTGAAAAATTAAAATATATGCGACATTTTCTTCGTATTTTTTTCTTCTTTTTTTTTCTTTCCTAATTAGCATTAAAGCACAAATAATGCCTCCAGCTACTTGATGTTTTATAGACTTTCAAGTTGCTAACCATGTTTCATGGAGGCAATAATCAATCATAATAATAACACATAAGTTACTTTTCATCACCTTTTCTTCTTTTATGAAAAAAAATAGAATTTTGATTGACACTTGATTTCTTTTTTTTTTTTTTTTTTATTCATAATAAATTAACAATCATAACAACAAAAAAAAAACAAAGCAAAATCTACTGAGCAAGTATCGCTTGTGCACGAAAACCACGTCCAGCAGTATTTTGATCTGATCGAAAAACAATCATTATATAATTTTTTGAACTAACAAATTGTAAATTATTAGAATTAGCACCCGTTCCACAGTAAGTTGGACCTGGTTGTCCTTTAATAAAAATTTAAAAACAAAAAAAGATTAATAAAAAAGAAAAATAATCCATAAAAATATACCAAGATGATAATAACGTATTTCAACAGAATCATCACAACTATTTCTATTATATGTCGGTATATTGAAATCTGTAAATTGAAGTATAACTCGATAAGATTGTGGTGCTCGAATGTAATAATAACATTGAGCATTTGTTGGATATAAATTTGGATAATTTGGTGATGTTATTGATGCAATTGTATACGTTGTTGTCAAATCAATAACACGACTACAACCTATGATTTTCAAAAAAAAACGATATTTATTATCGAAAACAATTACGAAATAATGTCTACACACACCTGGGTTAATTTGCCGTCGTTTTCGACGTTGATTATTCACTTTCTTTGGTACTGTTAATAAAAAAATAGAATCATTTTAAAGTTTTTTTCTTTTTGAACACATACCGCATGCTCCATTGATAATACTAATATCATCAATTGCAATATAATTATATTCTGATGTTATTGATTCATATGCGAAAATAAGGTTATAATCGTAAACATTGGAAATTGTTCGTTCGATTTGTTTCCAGTTTTTGTCTAATAATTGATGGTTATAAATATGTAAAGAAAATTAAAAATCGATTCGAGATTTTTTTTCAAAAGCGATTCATCTCATTGACTGAGTCATACAATGAGTCAGATGCAATTTGACGAGCTTTATTGAATAATTTATGTTTCGTTCGAGTGAAAATAAAATTTTAGTTATCAGAATTTCTTAAGTGTTACCGGCTGCTACTTCATCCTTTAAAATGTAACTGACTCAACGATTTTTGTTCAGTTAAATTGAATAATATATCTACCAGTCTGTAAACACTTTGTAGCTGTATATGAGATAGATAAAAAATCCTTTGTGAAGAAAAGATTTCGTGATCGAGTATTTTTGTTACGAATTTACATCAAGATGTCTGTCATATTGACAACATAGCTAGTTCCATCCAATTCACTCACACCCTGCGCCAAACAATGATGGAAGATAATGCCGAATTTCTGATTAAAATTTTCTAGAAAACTCCGATCACTGATATTTCATTTCCATTCGAATGAAACATGCGATTCACTAGAACTCGTCGAGTTGCGCCTGGCTTACTGTATGTCTTACGAACAAAACATATCCAACTGTTGGACATCGTTCGATTTTGTATGATGCTTACGAGTAGATCTCGATGAGATTAAGACAAGCTTTAAAGGATTTGGATGCATAGCCTATTGATAAAGAGTTATGGATATATTAATGAAATTTTTACTGGGAGCAAAGTATTGCCGAAAAATCCAAAATAAAGAGTTTCAATTTGAAATACGGCCTATAGGCACGTTCTATAACCATTAGATTGCACTGAAAGTTTCAACAAAAACGAACACATATTTTTCCCAAGATATTCGATTTCGAAATAGACTTGATTGTTGTATCCTCTTATGGTAAACCAGTGGGTTTTTTGACAATTGAATATCTCGAGAAAGATTTGTTCGTTTTCGTTAAAACTTTCAGAACAATCTAATGACAATGAAGCATATGCCTATAGGCAAAATTTCAGATCGAAACTCTTTGTTGTGGGTTTTTTGGCAATACTTTGCTCCCAGTAAAAATTTCATTAAAATATCCATAACTCTTTATCAATAGGGCATGTACTCAAATCTTTTTAAATTTGTCTTAATTTCATCGAAATCTTCTCGTAGCCATAAGATGAAGTCGAACGACATCAACTGACACAATCAATGGAACAAATCAGTTTTTGTAAAAACTCAATTCGACTGCTAATTTGCTTTATATGTTATCAATTTACCTTGATCTTTCCAATTGAATGTAAATAAATATTCATTTTGATAATTATTTGTTTTGTTATAAACAATTGTAACTCTACCAATGCCTTGTCCATATATGGAATACCAAAATTGTAAACAATGATTGTTTTCATCCGATGATTTCGAATGAGTAAATGGACCTAATTGAAATTTTTGTGAATC